ACATGCAATGAGTATGGTGATGCCCCTTTGATCCATGACAAGCTAATTTGTGGATAGAAACGGTAGTTTCCTATAAATATTGAGAGGTTACAATAAGCATAACAGTGAATGTTGTAACACTCCTACAGTCAACCATATTCAACCTTACAAGCAATACAATAGAAGAAGATTTCGCACAAGTCATGGAGTAGAATGTGGAAGTTCATATGATCAGCAACAATTCAACTCCAAATAATCTGCAACACATACAACCTCTCTACAAAGATAGATGTACGTTCCACATGCCACTTAAGAGTATATGCAGAAAGACTTCAGTAAATGCAGTATCCTAAAGTTAATTTCAGTCTGTGAAGGAATACATCTACCTACCTACTTGTAGCAGTGACGGATGTACTACATGAGCCAAATACCACAACAAAATGCATGGAGAATATGACAAGTGCAAGCTCATATAATCCAAAGCAGGAGATTCATTAGTGCATATCAATCCGCCTGCTGAAAACAACAAATAATGCACTACAGTCTACCTGTACAATGCAGCAAATAACTGATCCAAAAGCTGCTACAACACGCCATCAGATCCGCAACACTCGTACTAGCGGACAGAAGGCGTGTATAAATTCTCAAATGGAAAGTTATGCATTCAAATGACAATTACTTGTACAATTGAAGTATTTCAAAATACCCTTGCAGGTGCACCGTAGTTTGTATACACATAGGTACACTAAAAAGGGTAAAAGCAATCATAGAACCCGCATGGGCCCCAGCAAGCGTGTTATTGGTACACACGTGACGTCTAGGGTTACTGCGCGGGTTATCAAATTTTAAACCCGATCCTCCTTAGCTGGTAAAAAGGAGTCGACAGGGTTTAATTTTAAAATGCCCCCAAACTCACATGGGCCCCGGCGAGCGTGTTATAAATACACACGTGACGTCTAGGGATGCTACACGGGTTGATAAGTGAATTCAAGTTCGAACCCTATCCTTCTATACGGATCAATAGGAGTCGACAGGGTTCGAACCTTCAAACAGATATACGGTCGTGGCGACCAGTGTATTTATTTTAATACATTCATATTAGGCCTTCAAGGCCTATAACAATATGAATTCACTAACAAAGGCGTAAAGCCTACGAAACCCGATCATCTGTCGACAGTCAGACAAAATCGACAAGGTTCAAGCTACAAATGAAAATGCCCTCAAACACCCCGATGATGGTCGTGTTGAATGCAGATCTCAACCGGAGGGGTTCCCAAACATTTTTAAATGTCTGCCAAATATCCAAATACCCACAAATCCAAAACTCCACAAAAATTTTAGAAAACTCAAAAATTCCAAACTCCAAGATGTTTAAAATTGAAATAAATCCATCAAACCATTTAAAGCAAAAATTCATCCACCCTCCGCAACAGTTTGTCGGGGTGGACAAATCAAAATTTACTTTAGTTCACTTAGAGCCAAATGCCTAGTCGAAAATATCACTAGGATCAATTCTCAAACAATCTCCTGTTAGTAAGGACGTGGTATGTGTACTCTAACTGGCGGTTTGCCGCCAAATGGCGCCGTAGGATAAACGGTTATGACCCGGGGCCCTCTGAACCGAGTGATTTTGCCGCCAAATGGCACCACGAAATACCGGTTATTGCTGCTACTATATGCCAGATAACACGTATTTCTATACGTATCTGATTGACGACTAGCCTTAATCGAAAGTTCTCTCTCGTGGTCGGGAGGGGTAACTAACTATAGGGGCTTGCGCCTATAGGAAACCAGAAATCAGATCATAAAGTCCTCATAAAATGAGGGCGAAATCTCTGGGTAGTTTCTTATCTACAAACCCATCTGCCTTTCGAAATTTACCCTGGAACTTATTTCGTTAAAACTCCCTCGCCAAAGATAAAATCACAATTAGTGCGGGCGGAGGCCGGGGTCGAATTTTCGGAGCCCACACTTCCCTAAGGCCAGCTCTAAACATAAAAAGTATTTGGGCATGGGTGGTGGTCTCTTCTCCACTTCAACGAATCATGTAGTCATCGAAAGCAAATATATAATCATTTGCAAGTCTACTCCCTTGAGTCATCCTATTCCATCTATCTAAGAGCTTGGGGTAGTAGGACAGAGAGAGATACTTCCGCTTGAGCTCTTGCTTCATAGTTTACCAGTTGGTGATGAGGTTCTCACCTCTAGCTTCGCACATGTTTTCTAAGTTTGTCCAGTATTGGCTAGCTCTACTCGCAAGCTTCATCTCCGCGAACCTAACTTCCCTAGTCTCTGAGATGTTATACCACTTGAAATAACTATCCATCCCTTTGAGCCAATCCAAAAAGACTTGGGGTTCAAGGGTGCCATCATAGGAGAGGGCATCTATTCGAATGTTCTTAAGCAACTAAGCGTCGCTATCTCTCCAAGTCGGGTCATGCCCTAATGGTTCCTAGTTGGGTCTATGATGTGGACGATGAGGGTCTCGAGGAGGTCCGTAGTCAGCTCGAGCTTCTTCGACATAAGGGGAGGGAGTTCTAGAAGGTGTATACATTATAGGATTTCCTAACCTATAGATGCTATCTAGCCGCTCACCAATTTGGCGTCGAAAGTCTGCTAAATCAGCTTGGGTGTTTTTAATTTGCTGAGTAACTGCACCTAATTGACCTACAATAAGGTCTAAAGTCGTCTGAATTTGTTTCGGATTCATGGGTAGACACTGGGGAATACTTAGGGTTGAAGCTGGATAGGGGACATCACTTAAATGCAATGTTAGACTCACTAAAAGGTCACTAGATGGTGCATGAACAGTTTTGACAGCAAGCTATACTAGTGGTTTAAGTAACCTAGGCACTTAGGAAAGTTGTAGGGTTGAGGACAACACTAAAACACTTAGGAAACTAACTTAAAGTTCACTAAATGAGTGTAGAAATTTGCTGGACAGCAAACTAAAACAGTAAAATAAAATGTCTATGCGATGACATGCATGCAAACAAGCTAAGGGATAATTATGTTGTACCCTAGGATGAGTTTTACATGTAAAGCCTATGCTAACCATGCTCTGATACCAAGATGATGTGAAACCACATAGGAATTGCACGTAGAAATTTATAATGATTGAAGTTGGCGTCGCAACTTAAACTTAACGTTTCACTTTGAAAAGATTTTACGAATTTAAAATTGTTTAAATTGATATGGCAAGTAACCACACAATCGAAGAACAAGATCTCAAAATAATATCAAGAATATAATGGAAACAAGTAGTGCGACAAACAAACAATCCTCCACATAACAAAGAGAGAATTCACCTCGAGTTTCCCTCACTCACACTCTTTAAGGGTTAGCGGAAGAAGAGTCGCCACACTCTTTAAGGGTGTAGAAAGCCGGGTGTAGAAATCCAATGAAAGTTAGCCGGAGGAGGGGCTATTTGTAGACGACCGGTGATCCACTAACGTCCGCAGGGAAGATACTTGACTTCTTTTCTTGCAAGAGAGCTCATGAGATGAGAGGAATTCCAAGAGGGTGGGCAAGCAAGAGGACCGGCCAAGTGTGGGTGGAGTTAGGGTTTGTGGGGGTCTAGGTTTGGGGTTATGGAAAGAACATTAAATCTGAAATTAATTTCATATTTAATTAAATGAGAAGGGAAAGAATTTGAAATTCAAATTCAAATATGGGTTAGGGGAATTAGGGTTATTAAATCCTCTTTAAAATTAATTACAAAGGAGGGTAATCAATTGGGAGAATTAAATTAGGGTGGAGGGAAGGATTATAATTCAAATTTTGAATTCAAAAATTTGGAGCATGGGGAGGGCTGGCGGCATAGAGAGAATATGGGGGGAGATTGAGAAGGGTTGACTAGTTTCCTAATGCACTCCTATTAATTAGGGATGAAATAGGAATGTTCAATCTAATTTAAAATTAAATTAGATCCAAATTTATAAACTTTCCTAATTTAGCTTTCGTAGTTTAGGAAAGTATTTGAAATTCGAAATTTGAATTTCAAATTATTTAGATCTTTCCCAAACCAATTAGGCTATTTTAGGTATGTGTTAATGATGATTGTTTTTATCATCCAAGAGAAATAGGAAGGGGGTGGCCGGCGGTGGGGCTAGGGCTAGCTAGGCCAGCGGTTTGGGGGTGGTGGGGTGGCCGTCGACGTGTGGATGGGTGAGGGGTGGCTGACGGCTTAGAGAGAGATTGGAAAAAAAGGTCGGTTGGTGGAGGAGGTGGGTTGGATTGACCGGCGGTGGTGGGAGGGAAGATAAGGTGGCCGGTGATAGGGAAAGGAAGATGAAGAACCGCGAGTCCCAGAATCCACCAGTGGCTGACGGGTGTTGCAAGGCCCTCTCCTAGGGTCTCTCCTCTCAAGAACTCACAAAGGGATCAAGCAAGAAAATATGAAATTTCACTTCATAATCATCATCCAAATACAAGACTAAGGACCGAATATATAAGCCTCATAGAGAAAGAAGAGAAATGAATAAAATGCCCATAGGGCTACAACTCAACTCAACACATAAGCAAGGGTACAAACGAAAATACAAAAAATCTGAACTAATACCTAAAATATATCAAATATATAAGTTCCTCATCGTAGCCTTTGATCTACGATGCTTTCGGCGATAGACATTCCGGAATCTCCTACTGATGTCCTCGTCACCTAACCCAGCTAAAAGACATCTATGGCCCATTGAAAGTGTTGTTGAAAGTGTTGTGAAATTTGGTAAGCCCTGTTTGGGCCATGCATTCCACCTGCCATTATAGGCCATGCATTCCACATGCCATTATATAATTGATCCAAATGCATGAGTTGGTATGTGAGTGGGACTACAGAGCATTTCTCATGTGTGCATGCATGCACGCATATGCGTGTACTTCATAAAGAAATTGCAGTAAAATTCAGCTGCTGAAGCTTTCAGTATTGTTTTCTTGTGAAGGTTTGCCTGCACTTATTAAAAAAATATTGTGTTATATCATTTTGCAATTGCTGAAGCTTTCTATTCTTTTGTTATTTTGTGAAGGTTTGATAGTCTGCGCATTACTCCAAGGTCTCTGGATATATTGGCTAATGGCTCCCCTGTTTGTGGGGATCTTGCTTTATCTTTATCCCAAGCATGCCCACATTTTACACAGGTTTGAATTAATCCACATATTATGTTTCTCAGATCGGTTCTCTCCCTTGTTTATATTTTGTTCCGTTTTAGAAAATTTTCAATTAATCTTAGGTACTACGATGTATTTATGCAATCAAAGCCCTCCGTTTCTCTACTGCTTTATCAATCTTAAAGGATGAATATCTGCGTTCAAGAGATTTCCCCCAGTGTCCTCCTACTTCTCATTTATTCCATCGCTTTCGCCAGCTGGGATATGCATGTATCAAGTAAGTTATTTTACTAACAGATTGAGTTTTCTTAAAGATGCTACAAATCTGCACATTTACTGCTAAGTAATTGAAATTCCAGGATTCATGTTGGCAAGTTAATGTTACTTTGATGTTTCCATATTTTATGCAGTGAATTTTTATGACATTTCTTATCCTTATTGCTCCATTTGCATGTTAATATTACATTACTTTATCTGAAGGTCTCATAGTAATCAATTCACAGTTCAAAGCTTCGCTTGCCTTTTTGAGTTTTAATCGTTGCTTTATTGAATTAGAAATCATTTTCATTCTTTATTCTCTACCATGTTTAACCATTACAATGAATAGTCATGCTGCATGTAACATAACCAAGTTTAAGATCTGCTTCTTCTTTTAGGAATCCTGAAACTCGAGTTTGAGATCTCCATTATTGAGACCTATTTGAACTCTTAATCCTTTCTCATTTATATGCATGTACATTTAAATGGACGTATTTAGGCAGTACAACCTGGTCATATGTGATACTTCTTATATGTTTACCCTTTAGAAGTTTCCAGATCCTTTTGCTTTTCTCTCTACTTTGGTCTAATTTTTGTATGGTTAGCTTTTTGGCATTCTCTTTCTAATTTGTAAAACTGTTGACATCCTACAACTTATTTGCTGCTACTTCGTTTCAGATATGGCCAGTTTGATAATGCCAAAGAAACTTTTGAGGTCATTTCGGACTTTGAGAGTATGCTTGATCTTTTCATATGCCACTTAAATCCTAGTGCCCTGCGCCACCTTTCTCAGAAACTAGAAGATGCTGCAACTGACTTGGATCTAAGACGATACTGTGAAAGAATATTAAGAGTTCGCTCCACTGGATGGGGACAGGGTATTTTTGCTAATTTTGCAGCTGAAAGTATGGTCCCTAAAGGGCCTGAATGGGGTGGTGGAAACTGGGAAATCAAGACTCCCATCAGCATGAAAGATATACCCCAGTGGGAGCTGGCAGGGGAAGTCATGCCATACATGAAGACCAGTGAAGGCGGTATTCCAACCATCATAGCAGATCAAATTGGTGTTTACCTAGGTGTAGTTAGAGGAAAGGGAAGTATTGTAGAAGTAAGTGAAACCAGTTTGATTAAAGCATTCACAGCATCAATAAATGAGAACAAGTCATCAAAATCTGATTTACTACCTAATTTGAACAAGGAAGGTCCAAACGCAATTGCAAAAGCAAATCCTGTAGTGGATATTTTAACCAAGCAATTAGTAGGTGCTGCTCCTAAAGACGAGCAGGCAAAAGCAGAAGAAGAGTTCAAGAAATCTTTGTATGGTACTGTTGATGTGAGCAGCGGTGAGGAGGATGAAGCAACATCAAAAAACAAAAAGATAAGGATAAGAATCCGAGACAAGCCAATTGATGGCCCTACTGTGGATGTTAACAAAATCAAAGAAGCCACGAAACAATTCAGACTTGGCGATGCTCCCATGAGGACCAAGTCAGGAGGATCTCAAGATATATCAATAGCTTCATCACAGCCATCATCCATAAGGACTGCGGCTGCAGCAAGTCCTGCAATTGATATGTTTGGGAATGACACTTCTATCCCTACTACCTCAATGCAGACAAACCCTATGATTACTGGTATGGGAGTGTCAGCTGGACCTATTCCCGAGGACTTCTTTAAGAACACAATTCCTTCATTTGAGGTTGCTGCCTCGCTGCCGCCTCCTGGGGCATATTTGTCTAAAATGGAACAAAATTCTCAAGTAATGGAAGGAAACAGGTTTGCTTCAAATAGGGAGGTGATGACAAATGTTGGCTTCCCAGAGGGTGGTGTACCACCTCAGGTGTTTCAACAGACTGGTGTTCCTTTAGAGGCAATTAGTCTTCCTGATGGTGGAATACCTCCACAATCTCAGGCTCCTGCCATTGGTCCTCCCTCTCTCATGTCTATGCCCTCACAGCCAGTTGATCTAAGCTATCTTGAAATTCCAGGATCCGACTACACAGCTGCTGCAACAAAACCGTCTCCTGCGCCTTCAACAGTTCCCACTTCTGTTGCTCCTGGCCAAGTAAAAGTTTATGTTCTTCAAATTTAGAGTTCTTGAACTTATTAATATTTAATCAGTTGATTATATTTTCATGAATTGTCATTGTTTACATAGGTTCCCCGGGGTGCTTCTGCTGCCATTTGTTTTAAAACAGGGCTTGCTCATCTTGAACAAAACCAGCTTTCTGATGCATTGTCTTGTTTTGATGAAGCATTTCTGGCTCTTGCTCAGGATCAGTCACGGGGAGATGATATAAAAGCACAAGCCACCATATGCGCCCAGTACAAGATTGCTGTTGCCTTATTGCAGGTATTATGATAGATTTATTATGCTCTATGGAGCTCAAATTTACATAGTTATGCTACAATGTTGACCCCTATATCAAAATATGCACAAAAAGAGGCAAAATTAGCGAATTAAGTGACAGGTGCATTGCCTCGACATGTCACTTGAAGGGCCAAACGACCTTTGATTGCCGAAAAAATTGCGCCTTTGCGATCAGTGTATCAAATTCGCCTAAGAGGGAACCCTTTGCGATCAAATTGGTCAAAACGGACGTACGACACCCGAAATTGACGCACGGCATTGTCCAAACGACGTCCAATCACAAAACAGACCGTGCCACTGTGTTTAGAACATCGTCGATACCTAAAATAAACTATAATTTGCCCAATGAAAATTGCGCGCACAAATCGGCACGAGTTTGTGGGAAACTACGCGCAAACCAAAGGAATTGCACGCAAATCGAGACATTTTTTGGGTTACTGACTAATTTCCATCATTTCAGAATGCAATAGTAGTAACAATGATAATAATAATATTATTATTATTATAATTAAATTAAAATTAATTTTGAGCAAAAGTTATCTCAATCAAAGTTACCTCGGACGATCTGCTCAAATCCCTAGAATTCTAGTGACCCTCTCCCGAGAAGCTTCTACACCCAATTTCTCACATACGAATTGCTGAACTCCCTCTTCACGTGCCTGATCCCTTTGTGGCACTGCATATGTATAACTACACTTACGACACTGCATATGTATAACTACACAAACATAATATGTAAAAATTACATGTAAAAGTATACACCTGCATGAGCCCTGACGAACGTGTTGTATGCATATACGTGACGTCTGAGGATGCTGTACGGGTCAAGAAATGGACATAAGTTCGAGCCTGATCATTCTATGTGAATAAGGAGTCGACACAGTTCGAACTATCAAACAAATATACGGTCACGACATTGACCTGGATATTTGTTTCATATGTACATATTAGGCCCTTAAGGTTTATTGTAAGGAAAATTTATCAACAAAGGCATAAAGCTGATGACAAACCCGATCATCTGTCAGTAAGTTAATAGAATGGACAAAGTTGACAAAGTTCAACCAATAAAATAAAAATGCCTATAAAAATTTCAATGATGGCCGCGTTGATAGAAAATCTCAACCGGAGAGGACCACAAACATAAAAAATTGCTCATAAAAATCCAAAATTCTAGAAATCACTCCAAAATCAAGATGTTTAAAATTGAAATAAATTATCAAATATTTAAAGCAAAATTCATCAACAATCCATAATAGTTTGTCGAGATAGACAAAACTGAAAACTATTTCAGCTCATAAAGAGGCAATGTTTGGTCGAAAAATCACTAGGATTCATTCTCAAATAGTCTCTTGCCAATAAGGATGTGGCACATGTTCTCTAACAGATGATTTTGCCGCCAAATGACATCACAGGTAAACGATAATGACCATGACCCTCTGAATCCGGTGGTTTTGCTGCAAAATGGCATCAGTAAATTACGGTCATGGTCAGAGCCCGCATGTTCCTCAATGACTTCAAATCCTTGAGATATGAATCAATTGGATATAATTGATAGGGCACAAAACCCTCTGTTAGCTATAAGGTAGATTAAAATTTGTTCCCTTAGACAAATATTCACCCCAGGTCTACAAGGTACCATTGAACGAAGCGACATATGACTGTCGACAAGGATCCTTCTATCAGGTTGGGTCGACTATATCATTTGACTAAGTAGACCAGGGACCATGATGACCCGGGACGATGGAACCATGAGATCTTAATCAAGTCTATCATCACTACTCCCATCATCCGCTTTTAAGTGCAAGGTGGTGAATTTCTAATTTTAAATATTACATTTTCAAATACCAAATTTTGCTGCTACCATACGTCATATACTACATATATGTTCGATACTATATGTCTATTTGACGACTTAGCCTTAATCGAAAGTTCTCTCTCATTACAGGAGGGATAATTAACTATGGGGGTTTGCGCCTGTAGGAAACTTGATCTCATATCATAAATTCCTCGTAAATGTGGGTGAAATCTCTGGGTAGTGACTTATCTACAAACCCAATTTGCCTTCTAAAATTTGCTTCGAAACTTGAGCGTTAAAACTCTCCTCGACAACCTAAAGAAAAGAAAGAGGTCCACAGAGAGGCCGAGCGTGAATTTTTGGAGCCCACGTACAAATTAGTATTCAAGACCACTGATGCATCCCTGCATCTTCTGAATTCTCTTCAAACAAGAACTTATGATTGTTGAACTGCAAAATCAAGCATATTACAGTAGCAATTCCTCGAAGACCTGCACTGATCACTTAACTTAAACAAGTTTGGTTGATACTTATTTTATGTTATTTATATGACATTCCTGATAAATATGTTGAAGATTATTTACAGGTAATTTTAACCTTTTCATTTTGAATGTTATATTATTGTTATTGATTCTCTGACAAATGGGTTTGGATTAATTGCGTTGGTGTAGAGCTCATTGTATAATTTCCAAATCATTTTCATTACTTAAGCCTGGTTGTAGACTCCGGATTCTGTCGTCCTAGAAAAAATTGTCTGATTTATGTCATTGAAAGAACTATTGTGAGTCTTCGAGTAATTGAGGGTCAGAATTCTATATACAACAGAAATTCCTTTTCTTTTATTCTTTCTTAATTTGAAAAAAAAAATTGCCAGCAGCAGGATTAAAAGTAAAATATAGAATCAACCAGCTATTAGGAGTTCTGTATGAAGGATATTTCTTGGTAAAGTTTGGTCCGTAAACAATAAAGTACTTGGTTATCATTTCATACTGAGTATCCAATTCAACTTTTTTTTCTTTTTGGGAAAATTTTGAGTGCTGAAGCACAAATTTGATGCAAGGGGCATTTATTCCTGGGAACTTTGTCATACTTACCAAGATCTGTACTAACCAATAACTGGCAACGACAATGAATAATAGATTTTGAACTTGGGTGAAGCGCAAAAAGAACTCAACCACCAGGCCAAAATGCTAAATAACAAGTTAAAATGTCGAACTCAACTTGGTATTCATCTTGGTTATTAGTTTGTATTTCTTTACTAAACTAATTAAACAAACCTACCCAAAATTATGAAGTTTGATTAATAGACAAGCCAAGCTGCAAACTTATTACATCATTTGATCTTCTAGCTCTGTTTGATTCTCTAGCTACCACATCCTTAACAATCCAAGTAGCTTTTAAGTGATTGTTGCCATTAAATGAATATGCTGACCCATTTATACTTTAGGAAATTGCACGCCTCCAAAAGGTCCAAGGTCCTAGCATGATCAGTGCAAAGGAGGAGATGGCAAGGCTCTCTCGCCATCTTGGTTCTCTACCGCTTCTTGCAAAGCACCGGATTAACTGCATAAGAACCGCCATTAAACGCAACATGGAAGTTCAGAACTATGGTTATGCGAAGCAAATGCTTGACCTCCTCCTCTCAAAAGCTCCACCTACCAAGCAGGATGAGCTGAAGAGCCTGATTGATATGTGCGCGCAGAGAGGGCTCTCAAACAAATCAATGGATCCACAGGAAGATCCCTCGCAATTCTGCGCCGCAACCCTCGGCCGTCTCCCGACAATTGGTCATGATATCTGTAGCCTATGCGGTGCAAAATTCTCTGCTCTCTCCACACCTGGATGCATAGTTTGTGGTATGGGAAGCATCAAGAGATCAGATTCTGCTGCAGGTCCAGTGCCCTCTCCATTTGGGTGAGATTCGATCTCTATAGCTTAGCTTTTGCTTTTGTTTGTATGATTTTAATGTCTTTATGTATTTTTTTCTATCATTTGTGACTTCTTTTAGAGAGAGGGAGAGGAGCTGTAATTCACTTTTGTAATGAAAATTTGTGTTTCTCACGTCTTATTCTTTATAACTTTTTATTTTTTGAAACGATCTAAAGGGAAATTGAGTTCTTGCATTTTAGTTTCCCAGTTGCTGGAATGGAAACTGTAAGTGAGAACATTCGATAAAATTTTGGATGTGTTTGAATTGCCTTTTTTTTAAATTTATCATCTCACTGTACATATTCTCGGTATATATATAAGTTTTTTTATTTTTTTTAATTCAAAGTTCTATGTAGGCATGTATGATGATAATCTTTATTAAAAGTTGTTAAACAGTAAAAAAAAAGCTAGGCATGTTAGGAGTCTCTATTCATTTTCATCATTTCTATTACATTTATATCTTATAGTTGGGATATTTAATATAATCATCTGATTTTCTATTTTCAAATTAGACAGCCTTATATTCATACCTATTGAAGTGGAGTTTTTTTTTTTTTTTTTTTAATTTAGATTCAATTAGATATTATATATATAAGTTTGAACTGACTTTTTAATTGATAGCTGCAGTTTCTAATCAATAGATTAGATGAGCTTGAATGAAATGGGATTTTAGATAGAAGATTGAAAATATATTTTTTGTAAAACCATGTCTTAGGCTGCTCATTTTAACTCAAACTTTTTAAACAAATTTTACTGTTGCTATTTAGAGTTATTGTGTGCAGATATGCGCCGCTTCAATGGCAACCTTATAGGCCTTTTTGGCCATGGATCCCTTCTACATCAATGGACGACTCAGGCTTCGTTTGATTTTTTGGTACTTTTTATAAAGACAGTTTCAAGGAGATGCCGATTTGATGAAGTTTTTGAATCTTTTGGCTTTGCTTTTGTTTTTGGTTGGAAACTTTTTTTTATACAATAATCATTAAAGTAAACTCATGTACATTATACATATGCATAATCAAATTCAATATACTTGATTATTAGTCAAAGCTTTCAACCAATTGATCAAAATGAGTTGTGTAAATCTATATTATTAAAATAGCTAGTAAAAATCAAAGTTTTGTTAATAATTGACTCATATCATGTGAATATATCTAGACTCACTTTTGCCCATGTTAGCATATAAATTTCAACTTCTCAATTGTTGTTAGATGAAATTTGTATCTTTTTAGGAGGTAAGAAGGTGAAGCTATCAATTCTTTATGAATGGGGACCTCTGCTTGTGTTGCTTGTAACACCTTTGCACATGAAACTCGATCTTGCCCTAAATCTCTTCTTAGCATAATCCACAGGTGTCTGAAAAATTCATATCACCATTAAAGCGGTTTGAGTCATACATGTAAATCCTTTAACCTTCTCTCGAGCATAATATAAAACAAGGCCAATGACCACTCTCCCTACCGTACATGCACCAAACTAAACTATCTTGCTCTTGCCTCTCACCTCAACTTTTCTCAGATTATTTCTTCTTATCCTATCTCTTCTCAAGGCATTTGCCCTCCCTAACTAACCTTATTGATACCGAGTATGGCTATCTCAAGCTCTACCAACTTCACCCTAGCCTCCCCATCAAGATCCCAACTTTTCCTTCATCTAACATTCGAGCCTTTGACCAATCATTAACTCCACTTCCTTTGTCACCAAAAGTCGAAGAACAAGACAAAAGGAGAGGTTCCCAAATACCTAATAATATTTCATGTATCTTACTAACTTTCAATGCTAAAATGTTATATGTTTGAACAGCAATGCTGATGTGAATGATTGTAGAAGTTTAGTAAGGGACCATCATGTTTAATTTGGATTCGTCTTGTCGAGCCGCTCGATTCGACTATAAGCTTGTCATTTTGGAAATCATTGGGTTTTTGATTTAGATCTATTTGGTCTTGGATTGGGTTGAATTTGGAGTGTTGGGTTCGTCTTTTCGAGATGTTTCAGTTTGATTTAAGTTTGCTGAAATTTGAGTTTGGATGGTCTCAGATTTAATTGTGGAAATTTCCTATTCAATTTTGCCTTGAGATTCGTGCCCATGTATCAATAATTTTAATTATGTTTAATTAAAATATTTCATAAGTTACATTTATGCTTACTTACTCTAATGTTGCATTTACACATACGAATATTTGAACTTGTTTTTTAATTAAATTACGAACTAAATCATTTTATATTTCATCAATATAATTTTTAATTCATTTAGAATAATAACAAGCAATATTATATATATACTAATAATAATAATAATATCCAATTAAACTCATCTTGACGGTCAAAATAAGTTTAAATTAATCAAATATCACATTCTAATCATAAAAATGATAAATGTCATTGGTGAAATATCATACTATTCATTCAAGTGAGACAATAATGCAAAATATATAGTATTTTCAATTTATTTGAATATATCAAAGGTGGGATATCATATTATTCTTCATAATAAAAATATAAAGGCACATAAAATCAATTATTTGGCATTCTCAATTATGAGGTTAAATATCATGTCATGTCAAATAAATAAAATAAAATAAAATAAAAATTAATATTAAATTATATTTAAATGATATTATTTCAATTCAATTATATGTTTGCTCTCAAATTCAAGGTTGTGAAAATCGGACCGTACAAGAACAGAAAGAGGTTTACATTCGACGTCGATCAAGTGTGAACAGAGATGTAATAATAATAATAAATTATTATAATTAATAAAATTAACATAATATAATATAAATAAATTAGCATTTAATAATATTTATAAAATTTAAAAAAATATAATATAATTTTATTAAATATATTTACAAGAATAATAATTAATATAATATATAAATTTATAATATTTAAAATTTATATTATTTAAAATTTATATTATTAATTATTATAATATATATTATAACAAATTTATAATACATATTGACCAAATAAGTTCAAATTCATTTTTTAATTTATTCATACAATTGTTTTAGTCCACATCATAGGAGTTTGAAGTTGTTGTGTTTAACCTTTTATAAAATTTGAAGTACACACTTTTTATTAAACAAATTATGTAAGCTATTTGAGATAACTTGTAATATTTTGGTGTAATTAATCATCATCTTTAATAAAAAAATTTTAATTAAAAGAATTTAATAAACTAAAATATAGTGTTTAAAATTTTATTACAACAAAAATAATTTTTTTTTTAAACTTGTTAGTTCTTTCTAACCTATATTGGTTCAACGGTTCACTGGTAGAACCATTGGTTCAATCCGGTTCAGTGCAGAACTAATTTTGTAAGTCGGAATGGACCGGCCACCTAACCGGTTCATGGTTGAATTGGCCGGTCTAGTCCGGTTAGACCGGTTTTCAAATAGTTCTCAAATTCAACAAAATAAATAAACAAACTATTTATATGATAATATCTCATATAAAAAATATATTATTTGCAAAATTAATTTCAAACTCAAAATATTATATGCATTATAAGATTGAAAAATGCAGAATAGTTATTTATGCTTTAAGTTTCTATTGATCAGAATATTACATATCATGCAATTACTTTTCATCCATCAATCTTTCAAACAAAAAACATTTCTCATCTTTTTTAGTTTAATCTTGCATCCATTCATGAAATGTTTGGTTGGAGAGTTTTTGAGTATACATATTACATTTTAGACTTTGTTTGTGACAGCTTTCTTGTTGCTTTTCGAAACAGCTTTTTAGCATAAAAAATTTTTAAATTAAAAACATTTTTTTTTACTAAAAATTGTTTTATAAAACCACAAGAAAGCTTCCCGAACAAAACCTTAAAGCAATGCTTAGATTTTGACCTGTAAGATTGGTCAATCGAGTCAACATTACTAAAAATTTTCATCTGATCAAATAAAATTTTTTTGTATAGTTATGCCCTAAACTTCACTGTTGACTACTGAAGCATACATAAGAGAGGCAAATCATGAGTACGTAGTAATTGTTTTAGTTATTTATTCTTAATACACATTCATGCCTTAATGATTGTTATTTCTTGTACAGCCCCCAAAATACTTCATTTTAATTTTTTATTGATACTCGCAGGTAACCATTCAAGTTTTGTTGATGAGGGTGTAACCAAAGCCTGTGGCTCAGTGGTTGTCCTCTTCTCCCACTAAAAACTCACATCAAGTGTCCAGCTCGAGTCTCTGATTAAGGTTTCCTTAAGAAGCTAATTCTTTCATCCAAAGTTATCTTCCGGGTGATTTTTGCTTCCAGATTCTGCTTCTTAATCATCACGATTCATGTATTTTTTTGAAGACAATATTGATATTGTTGATGAATCAATCTCCTTCTTTCGAGCCAATTTATTCTTTAGAAACTTTGACATTAGAATCTCTGCAGATAAGCTACTCATATACCTTACATTTTACATTAACGTTGCCTTGAAAAGACTTGAAGGCTGGTTGTGGGAACCAAAGCAAAATGTTCCAGTACCTGGAGAGCAAGGCTTTCCTTTTCCAGGGCTCTTTACCTTTTTACAATCACAACAAGAATCAAGCATAACTAACATGCTTCTTTTATATATGGCAATAGTTGTTTTGGCTCTTTAATATTGATCTAAAAGGCTCTCTAACCATCTTGGTTCTCTACCTCTTCTCGAAAGCACCAGATTAACTAGATAAGATCCGCCATCAAATGCAATATGGAAGCTCAGAACTATGCTTAAGCAAAGCAAATCCTGAAGCTCCTCCTCTAGAAGGCTCCACCAAGCAAGCAGGAATGTAGAATGAAGTGAAGAACTTGATCAAAGAGGGCTCTCAAACAAATCAATTGATCTAAAGGAAGATTGTTAGAGCATAAAGAAAATAAAGCAAACTAGTACTGTCCAATCATTATCTGACACGTGTACTCTCTACCTATATATGATATAGGAATGTATTGTAATGAATAAGATAGGCAATAAAGATTTTCCTTTCTCTATCTTGTCTTCGTTCTTTGCTTTCTCTCTGGTTCGCCAAAATCAAGAAGCTCTGTAGATCCTTAGTTTCTTCATGGTATCAGAGTAGGGATAGAGCTTCGTCCGCCATCAACGTCCGCCATGGCAACATCAGAGACCCCGCAAACGGTAGAGACAACAGAGCAGGAAAGTTCGGATACCGAAAACATCTCATCCTCTCTCAAGTTTGTTGTCGCTAATCTCAAAAATCTCACTCCTACTCGGTTGAATTCCTAAAATTATTCTATATGG